CGTGTGACACGGGCAAGTCTTTTGAGTGATACTGAGTGCAATTTTAACCGACAATTTTTCACAATCCGCTGTTTTTTTGCTCACCACAAAAAGTGGGAATGGTTCAGTGGCCCATCCGCCCACTTCAAAATGTGAAGTGGATGTGTACCCCACCCCAACCCAGAATTTACGCCCATGCTTTTACCGCTAGCCAGTTTGTTTCCCTAAACTTTTTTATGTGCAAAAATTTTGAAAACTTAATAATCACACACGAAAATTAACAGCATCACTGCTCAAAACAAGGAGAAAAACTAACACTAAGAATTTTAGGAGGCAGGGAGAAGTATATGATCATTGACTTTGTACATACCCTTGACTTTGTACACACATCTTACAAAGGGCAGAGTGAATAATTAATGAGTCATAATTATGCGAAAACTTAATTAATTTACATAAAATTTCACGCAGACGATAAGTATGTATGCCTCTATGACACTGTCAAATTTATTTGAAATATATCATCGTATGGCCGAGATCGGGGGGGGGAGATTCCGCCTGGCCGGGGGTGACAAGGCCAAAAAAACCCGGCTCTATGAGGGTTAATTAAATAAAAGATTTGGAATAGTAGTTTTGTAGATACGGCCGTGCTTTATCAAGAGCAGGCAGCAGCCACAGTTGCTCAGATAAAAGATTAAGAAGTTTTGCTTTTTCTTGAGGGTGACATAATGGTTGTTCGCAAATCCTCTGTCATGCGTAATAAAAAGACCGACACAGTTGACAAATGGGCCTCCGCATTCAATACATTTATGGTCATTTACAGATCAAAACATCCACAGCGTGCCCCTGAATTGTTGAAACCGATATAAGCTTGCAGCCCGCCAGTTTCCTGGGCTTGGCTGGCAAAAAATATGATGATCAATTTCGCCTCCTCCAAGAGCAAAATCCCACACGCTCTTGGGGAGTCATAGATACCAAGCTGCGGCTGACTGTGGCAGCCGCTGTAACAGTTTCCTCCGTGGTTGTCGGCCTGGGTGGCTTAAGCGCTGTTCCACGCCCAATCTTAGATTAATAAAGTTCCAAAACCTGTTGGGATTTGTTCTGCGTTTACCTGGGAGCAAGAATGTCATTACCGCGCATGCAAATATGCCCACAAATGTAGTATATGCTTCTACCCGGTGCCACGGGGTTGCAGTGTGCAAACTAGGGAAGTCGACAAATGTTGGTTCACCGTATTCTTAGCTTTAAGGGCAATCAAGTTCGTTAGCCCATGATCACTTTGGGCATCACAGG